TTGTTAAAAGAACAAAAAGTGATATGGTGTAACTGGTGGTGGTGTAGGGATATAGTATATGGCGGATATAAAGGATACAGGAAATGTGCGAACAGTTACAGGTTGTCTTCACGAGCAAGGCATCGATCAAAGAACGTAATCGAATGGGCAGTGTAGTTCTCAAAGTCTTCTTTTTTGACTCTCTACATAGAGTCAGCCAAACGTTGCTCCACCGTCTTTACTACACCTTGCTGCTGCGATTGTTGCTGTTGTTGTTGTTGAGGCTGTTGCTCGTGTTGTGCCAAGTCGATTTGCCGGTAAAGCACCTTGACTTTGGAGAAAAACTCCTCAATCGGATTTAAAAAAGGTGAATACTAGGGCAAAAAGACAAGCCTGTAGCTACGTTCGGTGACCTCGTTGCTGATGTAATTGGCTGTATGTATTCTGGCATTGTCGCATACAATATTCCAGCCTTTATCCTGCAAGTCTCGCTGATCAAGTTCGTCCATTACTTGCTTCAAAAAGGCGAAGAAGTGGACGGTTTTTGTTCCACCTCCCGTTCCTCCCCTGTTGATTTTTGTGCATGCTTTAACAATGCCTGTGGAGCAGAGGGCTACAAGCATGGAGCGCGAGCGAGCATACATGTGCGGTACTTTAATATGCACCACTAATCCAGCTCGTGACCATGCATGGTTGCGTCGCATGTTTGCGGTCACCGATGCTTCGTCGACAAATACGCAATTATTCTTATAGTCCACTATGTTGCTGCTAATATACTGTTGAATGAAATCGAAGCACAAGTCTTTTGTTGTTTCGTTGGTACGCTGCTCTGGGTACAGATGAGCACGCTTTATCGTAATTCGGCATTTCTCTACTAAATGGCAATATATGGTAGATGCGTCAAGTAGCACAGAGAAGCGATTAAAGTATAGCATCTTAATCTGCTCTAACGTCACTGTATTTGCAGTGGTCACCGTCTCCACAAGGAAATTACTGCCTTCCTTAGTAATTTTTGGCAATGTTTTTCCTTTATATTTGATGGGATTTGCATTTCCATCACGTTCTGCATATCTCTTTTTCTGATCGAAGATGCTGGATTTGGCAACACCTGATACACGAGATATGGTGCGGTACTTGGCGCCAGCAGCGCGTAACAACAAAGTTTGTTGCATCTGCTGCAGGGAATGTGGCGTACTTGGTCCACGTTGGGTGGTAGGCGTTGTGGTGGTCTTTTTTTTTGGCTCTTTGATACTCAATGACATCGCTGCTACTCGAACTGACGGGAGGAGAGCCAGCGCCAACTGAAAGCACTGTTAGCTCTTCGCCTTCCTCCTCTTCAGAACTGCTGGTGCCAGCATTGTCAGAAGAGTCGATACCATCATTTGGCTGTATCAGACGGGATTGTTTGATTGGAAAGCAACTGATTTGATATTGACTCGGTGCATCGTCGCACTCTTCTTCATGGACAATATCAACTGGTTCCATGTTTGTATCCTCATTAGAAATGCTGGTGAATGTGGTATTGGCTGTTTATAAGATCCTATAAGAAAATTGATAAATACAATGCATGCATATTCGCATCTAAAAGGAAGGCAAGTATATACCAAAGGGCTGGTGGGTATCAACTATATCCATATCACTCATCACTTTTATTAAGTGCTTCAATGGCGACTTTTTTGTGGATCGTTTTTTGATAATTTTCTCTTGTTTCAAGGTTGGAGATGTTCCCTTGCTGAGGGCGTGATTGCTGGTGTGTTTCAGATCGTGCTTGGGGAGCGTGTTTTCATAGTTGAGTTTATTGATTTTAATAGGGGGAATAAAGGCGCAACAGGTACCAATATTTATAGAGGCTGTTTGTGCAAACGGAGTACAAGACATACGTAGAGCTTAAACAAATTTATTTCTAATATGTGATGTACGACGGCTAAACTTAGCGTTGTTCCTCTCTTGTTTTACTATACAATTTGGTTAGCTCTTCCGTGTACGTGGCTATGGATATGAATAGTTGATACACTCTTTTCACTTTTAGCGCTAAGGTGACGTGTTCGCCGTTTCTCTGTTCTTCTAGACATTACTAGTTTGATTGCTTGATGATCCAAGCTTTAGCTGCTCCAATGCTTTTGGCAGGATGGCAACATAATAGAGGAACAAACCTATTTTATGAAATTTTATTAATTTTATAATCTTTTAGTATTTTTTAATATATAATTTTGTATAAAAAATAAAAATAAAGTTGAATTTTCTTATATTGATAAAAATATGATACAATATGTCTTCTATGGACTTTATGGCTGATGAATATATTTATGAAAATTCCGAACAATATGAAAGATATAAAACTGATTTAAAAAAAGAAATTGATAATATTGTATTAAATAAATGGGGTTTTTTAGATAAAGATTGGGGTAAAATTACAAAAAAATATAAACATTGAACTGAATTAAAAGAAATTAAAAATATAAATACTATTAAAAATGAATTAAAAAATAAATTAGGGTATATTTCTGTTTTCTTCTTTTTAAATGAATTATATACAAACAAAGAATATCCAGGTCCTTATTTAGAGAAAGATAAAGGATTATATTTAATATATCATCTTATAAATGGTCATCCTCATATTGAAATAAATAAAGATATATCCTCAACATCATATTATAGATTATATAAAAGTTTTTGGATTACTAATTATGAAAAATTAAATAAAAAAGTAAATAGTTATTTATTAGATATGTTTAGTAATATTAAAATAAGAATTTTATCTGCTGTTATAAAAAACCCTAAATATTTTAAACATGTGACATTAATGTTAGATGGCCATGATAGTACTATTAAATATAATAAACCTGATATTTCTTTACAGAAAAAATGGTCATATAAATTAAAAACAAGTGGATTACGTACCCAAGTTTTAATAGATATTAATGAAATGGTTATATTTGTTAGTAAAAGTGAATTATGCGGTGAAAGTAATGATGGTTCAATGTTTCTTAATATGAAATTATATAATAAAGTTTATAAACATGATTGTATTGCTTTTGATGGAGGATATATATTATTTATAAACCAATTTATTGAATTATGTAGTAATAAAGGGTTTGATGATATAAGTGATAAAAACTTTTTTTATCCTATACGGAAAGAGAGTAATATTGAATTAAATGAATAAGAAAAATATTTTAATAGTGTTTTTGGAAAATTTAGAAATACAGTAGAAAATCAGTTCTGTGAATTACATAACACATTTAAACGATTTAGTAATAACAATTCAACAATTAAAACATCTGATTATAAATATATAAATTTACAATTAAAAGTTTCTTTTTTATTAAAAATATTAAACAATTCTCTGAAAAATTTAATATAATTACCCAACCTCATCATAAACTTTGGGAAATAAATAATTTCGAATTTCCTTGTGAACAAAGATTAATTAATATTGTTTATATAAATGAAATGGAGCAGTTAGAAAAAATAAATGAGATAACAAAATTATAAAAAGAAATTATGAATTTAACATTAGATAATGATATAAATAATATGATATTAGATGGTGAAGAAAGTGAAAATGAAATTAATAAAGAAAGTGAAGATGATTTTCCAGAGTTAAAAGGTAAAACAAAAAAAAGAAAATATAAATCAAAATCAATAAATAAAATTAAAGATATAAATAAAGTAAGAGATAAAAATAAAGTTGATAAAATATATGAAATAGAAAATATTATTGAACATAAAATTATTGATAAAAGTTATAAGTTTTTAGTTAAATGGAAAGGATTTAATAGTAATGATAATTCATGGATATCTTTATCTTCTTTCAATGAAAAAGAACTATTAGCTGATTATTTATCAGAAAAAAATATATTAATATCAGGAATTAATTTATAATTTAAAAATTTAAAATTATGTTAAAGAATAATTAATATTTTAAGTTATATTATTATTTTATATTTATGGAATATTCCTCATACTCAGTAGGAACCCAGTCTTGCTGAGCTTCTTCAATATTTTCTATCAATGAGTGTAGTTCTTCGACAGCTGATTCAAGTTCTTTAACAGTAGGTGCTTCCAACTTTTTAGCTACATGTTTCGTGGTGCTTAAGTGCTTCTTTGGTTTGTTATTTCTTACTCTTCTCATGGTACAGTGTACAGAAAGATAATTGGGATGAAAGCGGGATGAAAACTTATTTTTATAAATACCAATTTCAAGAGAAACTCATCATTTGCAGGATATTCCTTTTTGGGCTGTTATACAAATATCTTTTATTCTACACAGTCCTTTTTCATCGAAAAGATAGCCAAACAAAAACAAGGCGTAAAATATAAAGCTATATAGATGCTTCTATCATATAACAAGATGAGGCCATTGTCACTCGCTGGATAGTTGACAATGTCTGATTCTTAGTTTTCAAAATGATAAAAAGATTAAAAAAATGAAAATGGCATGTTGCGTCGCATAGAGCATTTCTATATGTATAAAAGCAAAAGCATTACATTCTACTTGTAGATAATCTTCCATGAAATTATTCGATAGTGCTTAAAGGACTGTCATCTAAATTGGAGAGATTTTTGGATTTGTATTCTCGTCAAAAACGCCATTTCAGTTTGCAGGTATATATAGATATACCCTAAGAATGAAGGCTTTTTCACCTCATTCACTCATTCATATTCCTATGTCTTCAAACGACGATGCAGTTGTACCTCGCTTACCAACGCCTTCGCCTCCTCCTTCGGACGATACAGCCATTGTCCCAGACAATAGTTATTATACATCAGAGCAGTCTGTCAAGTACATCGAGCTGCTCTCCAAATAGAGGCAGAAATCTATAAAACAAATGATCAAATCAGGGCAGCACGCATAGAACGTGGAGAAGATCCAGATGGTTAGTACTGTAGCAAACATGCTTTATGTAAGTTAGTAAGAGGCTAATGCATATCATTTTTATTCATTGATCATCCTGAACGCCACTTCGCTTCGGCAAATACGAAATCTATCACTCGCTGCACTCGCTTGCTTATTAATGCTGACACATGACTTACTGAACACTAAATGAAGCCATTTAAGCCTAAAATCCTACTGAGAGTTTGAGAAATATAAGCATAATATATTGTCGAGAGTAGTTGTTGATATGATAAATAGAATACAGTAAGACACAGAGATTGGTATGAAGATAAATCGCAGAAAGGTGAATACAAGCGTGGTTATAGAGATAACGCGAAAGGTAAGTGGGGAATTGCTGTTGTTGCCTCATAACTACAGGCTGTCTTCTTGTGCAAGACAATGGGAAAGAAAGTAGTAGAATGCGTGATCTGTGCAATATTATCTTTCAAGGAACGCACCTGATGGCATCCGCCAAACGCCTCTCCCATTCTAGAACTTCTGGCCCTTATGCTTCCTTCCCTTTCACTTGCTCTTCTACTGCCTGCTCTTCTTGTACATCAATCCTTGATGATGGCTTGTTTGTAAAAAGAGCCTTCACCTTGAGAAAAACTCTTTAATCAGGTTCTAAAAGGCAAATAGGCGACAGGAAGACAAGATGGTATCTGTGCTTTTCGACTACTCGAAATCCTGGTGTATAAGTAGGCGCATTGTCACAAACAGAATTATCACCACGACATACATCTTCATTGAGGACATCCATCACGCTTTCCAAAACAAAAAAAAATACTGCTTTTGTTCCTCCTTTGCCTGATCTGATGGTAGACTCGACAAAACCAGTATGGCTAATGGCTGCTAGAAGGGTTTTTGATGCAGTCCACATTGACGGAAGACCGACATACACAACGGTGTCACATCTCGACTGAGCAGAGTTTCTTGTCACTAGTCAACGACCTCTCATCAATGAACATATTTAGCCAATAGTCAAATTTGCCATTTTGAATATGCTTGCGCACATAATCTTTACAATTGTCCTTAGTCACATTGTCTGTGCAGGCTTCAGGATAGTGCATGGCACGTTTTAAGGTCAAGTTGCATTTGCACAGAAGATGTCTGTATATGGTCGGCAAGTAAAGAGTTACAGCATACTTATTCTGGGCGATATTATGGGTCAAAGTACTAGGTTACTTAAAGCACCTTTGCTTGAATAAGTGAAAGGCGTAGGCACCAAAAAGCAAAGACTAATGGTTAATTATGCTGCTAGCTAAGCGACAGTAACATGGGCAAAACAATAATGCTGTAAGCCAAATGAGCGACTGTTGGCCAAGTGACGATGCTATTGACAGAAAAAAATGCTGTAAGCAAATTAGTAGTTCCGTTAGCGAAAAAGAGGGCCGTTGACTAAGTGAAAATGCTGTTAATAAAATAAAAAAGCTATAAGCGAAATAATGATGTCATTGACTAAATGAGGGGCCGTTGCCCAAGTGACGATGCCATTGCCGAAATAAATTGCTGTGAGTAAATTAGTAATTCTGTTAGCGGAAAAGAGAGCCATTGACCAAGTGAGATGGCGTTAGCGAAATAAAAAACAACTGTAAGTGAAATAATGATGTCGTTGACCAAATAAGGGGCTGTTGCCTAAGTGACGATGTCGTTGACGAAATAAAATGCTGTAAGCAAATTAGTAACGCCGTTAGTGAAAAAGGGGGCCGTTGACTAAGTGAAAATGCTGTTAGCGGAAAAAGGGGCCATTAGCGAAATAAAATGCTGTTGGCCAAATCAAAACGCCGTTGGCCAAATAGAAAATCTCATTGGCGAAAAAGAAGCCCGCGAACGATATGGTAAATCCCGTAAACCAAAAAAAAAATCCCATGAGCGAAAAAAAAAATCCCGTTCGCGAAAATTTTAGAGCCCGTGTCTGGGATTGGATTCAAAATCCTGTATTATCATTATTACTATATCCAACCCATTTTACCTGAAATAAATATGCGTTCTTTTCTTTTTTGTGTCTAATAATACTTTCTATTTCATATGATACAGTTGAACGCTGTTTTCCTCTTATATTTCTTCTTCTTTCTCTAGTACGTTCATTAAAATTAGGAATATCGTTATCATTTTCACTATTTTCTAAATCAACTGATTCACTATTATCATCTATAACCATTTCATTATTTGATAATATCATATTTAATAAATTATTTTGTAGTTGTACCATTCTATCAAGCTTATCCTTACTTTGTTTATTATTACCAACAACTATATCAATTAATTTTTTTTCAATAGGAAAATCAAAATCAGGACTATGCCATATTTTATGATGTAGTAAAACAGGTATATTAAATACTTCTACAAACTTTGTAATATTTTTTAATAAACAGGCAACACAAAACTGAAGATTATAGTATTTAATATTATCTATCTTTACAATTGATTTGTTATTAAAACGATAAAATTTATTATTAAAATGTTCTTCAGTAATAGTTACAAAGTTTTCATTTATATTTTTACGAATTAGATGTACAAGTTATCATTACTAAAATCATCTCCTTTTTCTGCACTAAAATCATATCCTTTTTCTGCAGCAAGTTCAGTAAACTGTGTTATAAACAAAGTATATCCACTATCAACAGCTAAAATGTTATTTTGATTCATTTTATTATAAAGTTTCATATTCAAAAGCATGCTACTATCAGAACTATCTACACAGAGTTCACTTTTTGATATAAAGATTATTATATCATTAATACCAGCTGTAAATTGTGTACGTACACCATTTTTTTAAATTTATATGAATATAAACGCGATCTATCTAAATCTGTATCTGTATAATTAATTCGTGAATCATGACCATCTAAAATAAGTGTTACATGTTTAAATAAATCTGGATTATATTTTCTTGCAGATAAAACACGTAATTCTATATTTGAAGACAGATACATTAATGAATCATTTATTATTTTATTAATTCTTTTATAATTCTCTTCATTTATCCAAAATTTTTTGTAAACTATATGAAATGTACTTTGAGGTAAATATTTTTCAATTTCATCTCTAGAAATAACAGAAACTAAATGATATAACAAAAATTAACCTTTTTCTAACTCAAAATAAGGAGCTGGATACTCTTTACTTGTGTATAGCACAACTAAGAAAAAAAATACAGCTGTATAACCTAATTTTTTTAATAATATATCTTTAATTTTTTCAATAAATTTAATATGTTTAATTTGTGTTCTGTGTTTGAATTTATTATGCATAATAGGCTAATTCCATTCAAAAAATGTCCAATAATTAGCAATAATAGTATTTACTTCCTCTGTAATTAATGGTGTATAATCTATTTGCTCCATTTCTTATTTATATTATAAAATTCAATTTAGATATAAAAAATTAATAGTTCTTTAATAAAACAAATATTAACTTATAACCAACAAGGTAATGTAGTACCCACAATGCTTCGGAATCGACATCATTTCAACCATCAGATTCAAACCTATAATTTCATTGTACAAAGATCAGTAAAAGTAATATCAGGCTCATTATGTAGGCTGTTTAATAGTTTATTAATTTTTTAATTTTTAATTTATTTTATCTCACTATAAAGATCCCTGAGGGTTACGTCCAAATTAGGACTTAGTTTTTAAATAAGGAAATCGCTCTTTGCTCAGCAAGCCTACTTTGTTTTTAAAATTTTGCCCTGTCTTTTTTTTAGAAGCAACTGATTCGAATAAGTGTTCAATACCAATAGATCCTCAACAGGTTCCGTTTCAAGAAAAAAATGAGCTAAAGAGTCTTTTTCCAGTCGAAAGCAATAGCTGCTGTGAATATTGCCCGAGATTTGTGAAGAACGATCTATGAGTTGTCTGTCATTGAGAAGCACTTAATAATCTCACTTCGTGTTAAAGCCATCACAAGACATTGTTCCTACATGCCATTGTGGCGCGACCAATCACTAACGTGTTAGCTTCTATAGATGTCTATTGAAGAACGCAATGTTCGTCGTAGAATTGAATCTGAATCTGTACGTTATGAAATCATGAAAGTCGTTGAAAGTATGAGAGCAATTATTTACTTCATCTGATAAACAGGATGTCCCTGATATCATTATCCAGAACACGCCCACTCCAGGCCAGGCTGCAGTGACTGAGAGAAATGAATCCTTCCAAATCATTATAAAAATCCAGTAGTAGTTGAGAATGAGGCCGATACTTTGCTTACTAGACAAGGTATGCAGTTCTTTATGATTCTTTTTTGCAAAGAAAAAATTCGGATCATGACTCTGATGAGAATCCTATTAAGTAGCTGAAGGCAATGATGATGTCGAAACTGCCGCTGCACTCACTGCTACAGTTCCTGATGATACCTTCGAGTTTGTTCGACCTGTGGAGCACCGGGTCATCTGCGTTCAACTCATCGCGACTGTCCTTTCAACCGTAATAACTTTGCATCTGAACACGGTCTCAGTATCAATAGCCTGCACTGTTCCTTTTGTTCCAGAGAATATTTTTGGTCCAAACATCAGCTATGCTCCTGAGACTCTTTCCGTCGTCATATTCTACCACGCATGGATACCACATGCTCCTTTTGCCATGCTCGAATGTGGATTGATGACGAGTGAAGTCATCCTCAGTGTCCAATCCTCGCTTTGGCCTATGCTGCTCCCATGGACGGATCCGCCTTCCCACTCCACGTGCTCCTCCTGCTCCTCTTCTTGCGCTCTTGACCAACCACAATCCATCAGATGATGTGAGTGTGGACTTCCATACAAATATCAGAGCGTACAACAATATGTTTGCGTTTGCGTCTATTCGTGCAAACTTTGATCCTGCTTTGGCAAATAACACCCGTCCCAACATTTCGCATCAACGGCACGATGTACCATTGTCTGGGATCGTTAAAGCAGGAGAACAAGCTCAAGCCAACTTTTCCCAAATTTACTTTGCGGATACACAGGAGCAACTGGCAAGAAGAGAATCTCTGTTCACTGGCTTGAACCAAGAGACAGTTCAGATGCTCCAGACTGTTATGGAGGAGAATAATTCTTTCACCCGTACTTTGATGTCTGCTGCTGAGCAACATAGAGATCGGCCAATAGGTACTGTTAGTGTCGTTATACGTAGTGCATATGAGTTGGGACGACGTTATGATCAGCAAACGTATCCAGAGGTTGTAGCAATGGTTATAGAAACCATGGTTGACGGTGTAGCAGCACCACACAATATAGTCATCCATGATCGTACTGAGGGTCTTCGCCAAATCAGTTCCCTCCATCCATCCTACATGCCCCTCCACTACGTCCTTATGTTTCCTTTGGTGACGACGGATGGTATCTTGGCTTAAGATCCATGGCTACAGATAATGGCACAGCTTCTGTTACTTTGCTGGATTTCTGTGCATATATGCTGATGATATGTGATGGCGAAGAACAGACATTCCACCACCACTTTGGTCGCTTATTCCAACAATTTGTCGTCGATAATTATGCACGCATTGAAAGTTCTCGGTTGCTTTTCATAACGACTCACCAGGATGACTTGCGTTCTGAGCTGTACAGCGGTCTGGATGACAGTGTCGATCCACGTCAGGTTGGCCGTTCGATCATATTACCATCCTCTTTCACTGGCGGCCCACGTTATATGAAACAAATGCTGCAAGACAGATTAGCAATTATTCGACAACGAGGAAATCCGACGTTATTCATTACCTTTACATGCAACCCTAATTGGCCTGAAATTACAGCTGAACTTTCTCCTGGACAAAAAGCATATGATCGTCCTGACATTATTTGCTCCCGTGTTTTCTATATGAAACTTGACGAGTTGCTGCAGCACATCAAAAGCTCATCTTGCTTTGGAAGAGTAGAGGGCTACATGGCTACCGTCGAATTTCAGAAACGAGGACTTCCCTATATACACATTTTGGTCATTTTGAACGAGCAAGACCGCCCACGAAATCCAACGGAGTATGACAGATTTGTTTCTGCTGAGTTGCCGGATCCCGTGACCCAGCCGCCACTCTATCGTACTGTAACTTCGTGCATGATACACAGTCCATGTGGAGAGGAGAACAGAGGTGCAGTATGTATGAATGATGGTCGTTGCTCCCAAGGGTATCCCAAGTCATGGAATGAAGAGACTCGCATGAATCTTAATGGGTATCCATTGTATCGGAGAAGAAGAAACAATCGTCACCATATCTTTGCCTGCAGTCGATTTCATGCTGATAACCGCCATATTGTGCCATATAATCCATACCTCAGCCACAAGTACGACGCTCATATTAACGTGGAAATATGTACCTCTGCTCGCGCCATCAAGTATCTATGCAAATACATCACGAAAGGATCGGATAGAGCATAGTTAGAGACTGTCTGTACATCAGCTGCTGCAGCTGATGGAACTGAGGTCATTAATGAGGTTGTGCAATACCAAAATGCACGTTATATTGGACCATGCGAGGCAGTTTGGAGAACCTTCGAGTACAGAGTGCATATGCACCATCCCACTGTTTCTCGATTGGATTTGCATTTGCCGGATGAGCAGTTAGTGACATTTCGAGGCGATATGACACCACAGGAGCTCGAGGCTGCATCAGGGACAAAACTTCTTTTGCCTTCTTCTGTCTCAACGACCCACATTTCCTAGAAGATTATGATCCCACTGCAAGTCAATACTTATACACACAGATACCTTGCCACTATACGTGGGACACCCGCCGCCATCGATGGAGACCTCGCACCAATCCTCCTGTGCAAAACGTCGTATCTCGCATATTTGCTGCTCCTTTGACAAATATGCCTCTTTACGCTCTTCGTCTCCTCCTTCTCTGTATCCCTGGACCAAGCAGCTTTGAGCAGCTACGGACATATAATGGCACTGTACATTCTAGTTTCCAAGAAGCTGCTCTCGCTCGCGGTCTTCTAGAATCCGATCGGGAATGGGATAGCTGTCTAGTAGAAGCATCTGCTACAGCTCCATCAGCAGCTGTGATCCGTGCACTCTTCGTATACATCCTTACAAGTTGTTCTCCTGCTGATCCACTTTCCTTATGGAATACTCACCACGAGAGAATGGCTGACGATTACTTTTTCGAGTTTCGCAGAACGCATTCTTTAGCTAACGAGGATGAACTTCTGCCAGATCAGTATGAACAGATATATCAGCGCACCCTTAGCGATATTGAACTACGACTGCAAGTAACAGGCCACCATCTCGCGGAATTTCCTTCTATGCCACAAACCTTTGTCACCGAGTTGGATCGTCTGCCACCCTTAGAAGCGCTAGAAATAGTCGAACGCCGTGAGTACAGCACAGAAGAGCAGCGTCGATTGCTACTATCTTTGGTCCCTACTTTGAACGAAGGTCAACGCCACGCCTTCGATACCATCTCTGCTGCCATAGACACGCCTAACAACGACTACCAATCACGAGTTTTTTTTGTAAACGGCCCTGGAGGTACTGGCAAGTCGCAGCTTTTCAAGACCCTTTTGAGTCACGTGCGCTCTCAAGTCCAGATTGCATTACCAGTCGCCTCATCTGGCATTGCTGCAATTTTGTTTCTGGGAGGCCGAACTGCTTACAGTCGCTTCAAAATTCCTTTGAATGCTGATGAAACAACCAGCTGCAATTTGCGTCTTGGTGGACCGCACGCCCATCTCATCGAGAGAGCTTCTCTCATTATTTGGGATGAGGCTGTTATGTGCAGCAAACATAATTTCGAGGCAGTCGATAGATCCCTCAAAGATATCATAGGTGCCGTCGATTCACGTTTACAGCATGTCCCTTTCGGTGGAAAAGCTGTCGTTCTTGGTGGTGACTTTCGTCAAGTGCTTCCTGTCATGAAAAAAGGAACCCAATCAGAAATTGTTGCAGAATGCGTGAGCTCAGCTTCTTTTTGGTCTGATGTCGAAGTGCTGCATTTGACAGAAAACATGTGCGTGCGAAATTACAATTCAGGTGCTGCAACGTTTGCCGATACCCTTCTGGCAATTGGCGATGGACGATCGCCTTATGCCAGCAATTTTGAAATTCCGAGGAAATGGTGCATTGACACAAGCAATACCATGGCATTGATTGATACTATTTACCCTACTATCCGAAATCCCGATCCACAACCGCACGAATTCGCCAGCTGAGCCATTTTGGCTGCAAAAAACGTAAATGTCGATGCCATCAATGACGCTGCCTTCTCTGTTTTTCCTGGTGACGCCCGCGAATACAGCTCCAATGATCGAATCATTGACGCTGATGATCCAGGAGCAGCAGCAGCAAATTATCCCATCGAATTTTTACAAAGTTTGGCAGCCAGTGGAGTTCCTCCTCACCTGCTGCAACTCAAGGTTGGCATGCCAGTGGTATTGTTACGCAATCTCAATCCAGATGCAGGATTATGCAACGGTACCAAGCTGTTCGTAACGCGACTTTTGGATTGGTGTATTGCAGTAAAAAGGATCGACGAAGGCCATGAAGGGGAGGAGCATTATCTCCCGCGGATCAATATATGCACAACTGAGGGTGACTTCCCATTCATACTCTGTTGAAGACAGTTTCCCATTCGTCCAGCTTTTGCCATGACTATCCACAAGGCGCAGGGGCAAGCACTCACTCATGTAGGTGTCTTTCTTCAAGAAAGTGTCTTTGCTTATGGTCAGTTGTATGTTGCTCTTTCGCGCGCAACCAACCCAAATACTCTATGCATTGCAGTCGATATGTCAGCATCAGTAAACAGCACTAATCTATCTATAGAAAATATCGTTTACACTGAAGTACTACACACCCAGAGGTTTTTTGTGCAGATTTGGTTATAAACAATGAAGGATTCAAAAAATCGCCTTTTTTGGTTGAGTATCTAACAAGGTGGGGGGAGTGGGGGTTATGCTTTTTGGGGGATCGAGAGAAAGCTTCAACAATCGTTTTAATAGGCGTAAACAAACAAGCAAGCAAGAGGGCGTTCAGATTATTCAGTTCAGAATAAAACTTTTTTTTATTTGTAAAAACGACATTTGAAAAAAGTACACAGTAGAAAGAGAAATGGAACTACGGACGCGACTGCTACTACTACTACTACTACTACTACTACTATTATTGTCATACTTCTAGCTAGGATACAGGTCACGACGAAGGTAGATATTCTGAGGGAGGGGATGAGTATGCTTACCTCACTTATCAGACAATATAAGACGGCAAGTATTTGCTATTGCTCTGTATAGTATAAACAGTTGATTAGAAAAGGCATCCTAGGATTAATACACATATCAACTTCGTCCATTACCTTATCATGGGATTAATGTAAAAGAGCTGCCTGCTCTCTCTCGTCCTCCCATGAAACTACACAAGAAGTAAAAAGGTAACAATTGAGTAAGATTGACTTAAGTGAAAGGGCACAAAATGAGGACAAGACCCCCTTTTAGTAGTTTGAGACGTTGAAACTTACCATATTTTAGCCGAAGAAAATGTGAAAGAGAGAAAAAACGTGAGAATCACGGAAAAAGTCATTTATATACCCCCTTATTCATCACCGTCACAACTTTAATACACAATTAAGCTGTACCAAGTGTCGTTTTCTTTCTTTTTACATCAAACCAAAATGTCCACTTCTACTTTCCGTCTTAACGAACCTGAAAATAACATCCATAGCTGTCAATACCGCGACAAGGTTTATGCAACTAACTCAAACCTTCACCGACATATTCGTGAAAAGCATACACAGCAAGTACCGTAGAGGATATAAAACTGAGTTTCATATAGTACTAATGCATATCATTTGTTAATAGTCAAAACTTCCCTGCTGAGTCGATGTACGAATCGCGTGAAACCGAGGATAGCGATCTTGGAGACGAAGGAGATGACTTTGATGATACTTCGGTTATCGATCAAGGACTTCTTCTACCTTGAAGTTGATGACAGTCACGAGGCTGATGAAGGGGAAGTTAGCGACTTCAACCAGCAGTAGGGTGCCTACCATAGATGGGACTCCAACCCATTCTATCCGTTTAAAAACGAAATGGAGATGCAAGCCCTGTTGTTTTTCAAAGGCTCTCAGGACAGATTCTCCAACAGAATTTCAAAGAAGATTTTGCAGCTCTTGAGAAAATTTATCGAATTATCTCACAAGGAGCGAGATTTGATTCAACCAAGACCGGAGGGCTTCGACCCGATTAAAAATGTACCAAAGGATGACAGAATTTGCAAGAGCCATGATCCCGGCAGAAAAATTCCCAAGCTCGAAGTTCACAGTTGCCAAATCAACAAAGGAGAGAGCCAGGAGCCTGCCGATCTATTCATGATCAAACCTTCCAGGTAGTGTCTTAGCAGTACATTTACACTTTTCACAAAAAGTGCATGTCATATAAAAAATACTAACACCATTCACTTGGGGCTTATCGTCTAGCCACTTGGGTATGGTCATATCAAACCCAGTTAAGGTCAAACTCCTCAAGCATTTTCTTCCTGACTTTACGGCAACAAACGCTATACCTTGAATCAAGGTCGAAAATGGAAGGATAACTATCATTTCCAGGCACCAATGGTTCCAAAGGAGTTATTCAACACTGAGGCGGATTATTGGGTTGGCGATGTTGTTTATTGCCGTTCTACTCGCCAATATCAAATCATCGACACGTTCTTTACTATGGAGCAAAGCGTTTTTGCTACATGCTACCCTGTAACGCTAGACGACAACAACAGATTGCTTCTTCTCGCGTATTACAAAGTGAACATACCTTTGTCCAACATGACAATGCCGTATATGTCGATCCAAGACTGGAGGGAAGATACGATATCTGCTCGTGCAACTGACCGCCTCTGGCCAAATTGAATAGTTACCGAGAAATTGCCTCTCTGATATCCATTTGAGCATGATACAAAAAGCTCTCGGATACCGTAATCAGTTCCGACCAATCTTCAAACCAGAAGACATTTGAAGGTTCGGGTTGTCCCACTTTCCTTGTTTTCCGATGATACCAGTGGCAATTGATCCAAGAAGTGGAATTGCTACGATACTTGGACGATGAACGTCGCTGCATTTGATTTAATGGACAGTAATAAGTACGAGACCACTACTTTTTATGTACCAGCAATCACTCTATAAATGCGAGGGAGATGACTGGGCCACTTGTTGAAGATCTTTGCCAGCTAGAACGAGGCCAAGTTATGTACGACGCCATTCTTGGTGAAGACATCTTTGTAATTGCACCTGTACTTTTCTTTTGTGGTGACAATGTGCGACAAGCCGAGCTGGCGTTGAACAAAGGGTCGATGGCAAAGCACACTTGTCGATACTGTTATTGGCAAGCGGATCCCTCCAAGCCCATCGATGCTACTGGTCAGCCTGTCGCGTTGCGATACAGTGCTGGAACTCACTTAGCACAGGAACGAACTTGGATCGACTTCCGCGACTTTGTGAGAGGAGCTGAAGAGCGAAACAGTAGAGTACATCTACCAAACCGTGGCCGAGTCGTTCGACTTAACGGAGGCACAAACAGTATGACGCCCTCCTCTACAGCGGACTGGAGTAACCTCAGCTTTAAGCTAACTGGAGCAGAGGTACTACTGAACTTGAATGCCGTGGACCTCTCAAAAGATTTGCCAGTCGAGATTCTGCATACCATTTTGCTCGGAATGACAAAATACTGTCTCAAGATTTTGATGCAGTACTTCATCCAAACCAAAGAAACGGATAGTCTGACTCTACTTTTTCGCAACTACAACTCTCCCGCCTTGCACCGAAACTTGACCTCTTCGTTGAAAATGTACTGATCGTTTCTTGGCGGTGACTTCAAAATTCTTGTCCAGCTTCTGCCCTCACTGTTACAAAGAGCAAGAAACAACAACCCTCAACTGTTCACGGACCACGATTCGTTTTCTGCAATGTTTGAATGTTTCAATAAGCTTGCCGCACTATCGTCGCTTGTCTACATGCAAAAGATTGACAATTTCGATCAGTACAAGTTGGAATTAGATACGACTGTAGCAGAAACAATGACTGCAATGGATAATCTCCAGCATACAACAACGCCGATCGCTGAAAGCAGAAGAACTCCAGCTACTCGAACAACCGCTATACAGAGAATGAACTTTTCTTCTCTGTGCAACAGATTGAAATCACATCTTCTTATTCATCTGTCGCAAGATGCGGATCGATTTGGTGGAGCCGTTCATACTGAAGCAGAGAGGTGTGAACAACACCATAAATTTATGCGTGAGCTTCTATGCCACACCAATAGGCAGAACGGTGGACGAGACATGGCCAGAAAATTTGCAGAAGAATATATGCTACGTCATATATGTAAAGGTGGTCGTTTCGTGGATTGTTTTTCAGGAGTTTGGGAAACCTGCCGTCCAGGTGTTATCGCTTCGTATGATCCTGCATTGGTACAAAGTGGGCTCGTTCTGGCAGACAATACAAACAGCAGTAAGAAGCTTAAGGTTGGCCTAGCTGCCTTGTTCTATAACCGCCATACATCTTCCAAGACGAGTGGATTGACCCTAGGTGTCATCACGGCGAAACAAGGCGACGAGTTCTATGTTCAGGCCTACGATTTTGTTCTGGCTGCTGGTGAAGCTGCGTCAATGCAAAGTCGAAGCATTTTTGATTGCTGCGTTCAAGACATCGCAAGCAATTTTATCGTCGTGCGGTTACCTCGCGATGATTTTGTCCTTAATAGCACTGACGAATATCTTGTTGTCGAAGTTTTCGACATGTCGCAAAGTCTAATAATGAGAGCGCTACAGAGAGACTCGTTGAGCATCAATAAGTCGAAGTTTGGGACTCACTGGTGGCTCAAAAACACGACGTACAACTTTGAAAAAATCGTTTACTAAACCCATTCCTTCAATCTTTTCATTACATCACTTCTCTTCTTAATACGTTATCTATGTCTTATTCCTATACCCTTTGTTGATTATTCTTCTATGCATCTTAACGAACCTCTTTTATATTCTTTCTATATGATTTTTCTATGCGTTTTATGGCCACCTTTTATATTCTTTCTGTATGATTCTTATGTCCGTTTTTTATGCCCCTCCAAATCATATTTTTTTCTTTCGCTTCTTTTCTTATATGCCAGTTTTTATTATTATATTTTATGCCTCTTCAGTAAAGTGTTGTTACAACTACAAACTGATTATTTTTCTGTGATTGCGTAATTACATTTTCATTACAATGACATTGTAAAACTGGCGGCTTAATTAGCAGAAACCAATTGTGATTGGACAGATCGTGTGCGTGGTGGGTGCTCACCTCCAGGAGGGGGGTGTTGAATATGCGAGAGAGTTGGGGGCCAGACCTGAAAACGGATGGTAAGGGTGCACAAAACACCTTTTTGTACAAGAAATGCAAACAAAGACGCACCAAAAAAGTCTCCCAGGTTGATTTGGGGGAGGCTGCTCACCTCCTTTGAAAACGGGCCGAAATTGTATCCAATAAAATCATGGTTTCTTAAAGTTTATCAATATTTATATACAAAAAAGGATTTGTTTCCTCTGGGTGTGTACTACATCCACTAAGTCCACAAACAACAACAACAGAACCCATCCAATCAGCCACAGCTGCTGCCACAACCATCACATCACCAACTACTACTACTACTACTCTACTACTACATCCACTACTACTCCTGCTTAGATTCGTTTTTCCTTTCTAATATTTTTTCCTTTTTCTCCATCTCTTTGCCGTAGATTTCCTTTTTACATAACATACAACACAAAATTTCTTTTCACGTCTTTTACTCTGCCATGATGCCATAAGAGATAAGTATTCACGTGGCGCAGATCTTCTTTTTTAGTATTTGTAAGTCACTAACGAGTAACTCGCTCAAGCACCACAATGCCTTTACCGGAACACACCATCTCTCATCTTCACCTCCAGACACATCAACAATGCATGCCTATTTCTCTATATTGGCGACGCCCCATGCTGGATCGGATTCCCACAATATGGCATAACATTGACCTGTGCACGCCATATCATGTAATATGTCACATTCTGTTTCAGCACGAAGTTAAAATGTTACGAATAAGAAGCGATGGTGGACGTTTAAAGGTACATGAAGAATAGGAAAAAATGTTGACCGTTGGGTGGATAGTTCCTGGACTGCAGATGTCCCGTTTTTCTCAAAAAATAATCTTTAAAATGATAGATGGTATAATAGGGTTTAGTGTTAACAGTGAGCGCAGCAAACAAGTTTCGTGTTAGAGGTAGGCGAAGCAGTAAGTAGGCTCGCGAAGCGAGCTTTGGTTAGGGTTTAGAAGGGGGTGTGGGGGGAACCCCCAGGAAACATCCAATCCATTGAATGACCCGGAGCGCAGCGAAGGGGCTCATTCAGCCGAGCGAAGCGAGGCAGGTAGATGTTGATCTACTTTTAAAAGAGAAGTGGTCCTTACGAAGTTACCCTTTTTTGGTAATTCGGATGGCTAAGCCCCGACATTTTTTTAACTGCCCTGAAAGCTTTTTTGTCTTTACACTGATTCCCTACTTCAACTTCGGTCTTTTTCTTACAGAATGAATTCGCAACAAGTATGCCGTTAGATTAGCTGGAGCTGCGTTGTACCTTATGTACCTTACAATATCTAAAAGAAAAACTTGTGTTTGAAGAAAAGTAAATAAATATTAAATATGTGTATTCTCGGCTTAACAGTAAAACCAACCCGAAATTCGCACCTGTGTTTGCGGTGCAACCACCCATTCAACTCGACGCCATCGTGATTGTCCTTTGAATGAGCGTAATATGCGCCGTAGACTTGACAATGTATGCTTCTTTTCATCTGTATTGGGAAATCAGCGAAATGCTTAGACGTGCGAAGCACTTTAGGACGTGTTTAGGTTTAGAGGTTGGGGGTTTTGGGGGGAACGTCCCACAAAGTCGTTTAGATTACTACATTTTTTGTGTGTTATGATTTCCTTACTCTGACCAATTTTACGTGTAGGATCCATTCATGTTTGAGCAACCTGACACTCAAGATGAGCAGCGTCGACCCTGCCCCTACTATGGATCAACCACGCACCAACGGTCTTTGCATCACGATTGCCTGCCAATCCGAACAATAGATTGGAAAGTGCTGAAGCGACTGGTATGTGTTAGAACGCTGTGTTTGACTAAGGTGTCTTAGTGTATGCAAGGTGTATACTTATGCATGAATTCTAGATTCTTGGTCCGATGATGCACCATTAGTAGAACCTGTTCGCACATGCTCAAGCTGTGGGGCACCTGGCCATTCTCGACGAACTTCTGAAGAATGTCCTTTCAATGAAACAAACGTTCAATCTGAGCATGGAGCATAGTATAAAGTTGCGTGCACTATTCCTTTCGTCGCTGAAAGTGTGTTCAGTCCCAACATTTGTTTTACACCAAGAGACAATTTCCATCGACACGTTCTTGCTCGCATGAATGCTGTTTGTATGTTTTGTCAGGCACATATGTGGATTGAGGAACGAATCACAAGTTCTTCAGTCTCGAACCCATGTTTCAGTATTTGCTGCACACACGGCAAAATACAGTTACCCATCCCTCGCCATCCGCCACAAGAAATCATTGACCTTTTGACCAATGGAAATGATACTAGCGAAAATTTCTTCACCAATATTCATGCGTACAACAATATGTTTGCATTTGCGTCCATTCGAGCAAACTACGATCACAATCTGGCTAATAGTTCAAATGGTGTTTCCACGTTTCGCATCAATGGCACAATGTACCATTGCATAGGGGCATTGCGTTCAGTACAGCAACAACCAGCCAATTTCGCTCAGATATATTTTGCTGATACGCAAGAGCAACTGGCACGAAGACAGACATTATTTACTGGACTCGATAATGGCATGATAGCTTTGCTCCAGCGCGCCATGGAGAGATGGAACCCATATGTGCAAACACTCATGAATGCTGCTGAATCATATCGTGACACACCTTTTGGAACACTACAGGTTGTCATCCGTTCTGCACGTGAAATGGGTAGACGCTACGACCAGCAGAGTTATCTAGAGGTCGCTGCTATGATTGTCGAAGATACAGTGGATGGCGCAACATCACCTCACGACATTGTCATCCGTGATCGTCAGTTAGGTTTACAGACCATCAGTTCACTCCATGCATCCTATATGCCCCTCCACTACGTGCTTATATTTCCTTTTGGTGATGATGGTTGGTTTGCTAGAATGCAGTGTGAAAGTACTGACCGCCAGACCACTACCGTTACGTTGCTCGAATTCTGTTCGTATATGCTCATGATCCGTGATGGAGAACGAGTGAGTTACCAGCACTATTTCCGTCGTCTTTTCCAACAATTGGTTGTTGACAATTATGCGCGCATTGAGTATTCTCGCCTCCAGTGTATCACCAACAATCAGAATGATTTACGTGCTGAGGTTTACAATAGTATCGGTGACGATGTAAATCCATGTCAGATTAGTCGAGCCATTATTTTACCATCATCTTTTACTAGAGGCCCATAGTACATGAAGCAGATGCTTCAGGATGGACTTGCAATCATTCGACAAAGAGGCAATCCAACCCTTTTCATTACGTTCACCTACAATCCACAGTAGCCAGAAATTCAAGCTGAGCTCCTTCCAGGTCAGTAGGCATTTGGTCGTCCTAACATCTGTTCGAGAGTCTTCCATATGAAGATCACTGAGATGTTATTGCACATCAAAGAAACCAGTTGCTTTGGCTGCATCGAGGGGTATGTTGCAACCATTGAGTTTCAAAAACGTGGCTTACCACACGTGCACATCCTACTCATCCTACACCATGAAGACCGTCCCCGCAATCCTTCTGACTACGACTGTTTCGTCTACGCCGAGTTGCGAGATCCTAACACCCAATCTGGCTTTTTTCCACTAAGATTTGCTCTAATCTTTTTTCCACAGAATTTACCTTCATTCTTTCCTTGTTTGAACTTATGAGTACAGAAGTTATTACTCATACTTAAGTATAGAAAATAATCATTTAAGAATAAGTCTTTTATTTTTTTATTTTTTTTTTAGAGATTTTTTCAATTATATTTTCTTTAATAAAATGATCAAATTCTATATACATAAAGGATTCTATTTCCTTATATATATTTATATGTAATTGTATATGATTGATTGGGAGAAATTCATTTAGGCAAACCATTTTTAGAGCACTTTTTATATTATAAAGAAAATTCAATTTTGTTTTTAAAAATAAATTAATTTAATATGCACAATTTAAAACTCCAGATTTGAAAAAATAACATAAATAGATGAAATTTTATAATAAATTTGTAAATATCAGACTATAAGATGTTCCACCAAGTAACAATATCATCTATCATCATCATCCGAATAATCAACCCTAATACCAATCTTTCCATTTATTCGCATTATTAAATTCTATAGTAAAAGATATATAAACACCATTGTCTTTGAATAATAAAACATCAGTTAAATATCTTGTTTTCATCCTATATCTTGTTCCTTATATCTTCTCTCATCATCTGCTCTCCTACCTCCTGGTTTCCTTCTTGTCTTGTCCTATTCTTGCTGAAAGTACCTAGCACATTCTCGTCTGGTCTTTCTGTCCTTATCTTATCTTGTTCCTGTCTGCACCTTACACCAACCTACCGATAAGTGGCATTGTCATTCAAAGTTTTCAAAGGGAAAAAATCAGTGGAGTCATCTTAGCATCCATTTATTACTGAGTTACTAAATTGTTCCCTCTAGAGTATGACACAAGCTACTTCTTTAAAATCAGACAGTTGTTCTGTATTTAGAAGGCATTTCAACAAAATCATTTTGTCAAAGCCCTAAAACTCTCTATTGTTTGTTGTCTGGTAAAATTGTTGTGTAGCCAAAACAGAATAATCAAAGGCTGGTGCTGTTGTTCTATAAAATGATATCACAAAGAATAGAGACAACCCACCAAGAATAACCACTGAGATAGAAGTACACCGAAATGACCACGAAGAGGGATAGGACTACAAAGGTAACTAAAAAGAAATAGAAGAACTGACAGATAATATTTTATTCAATAAAGATGACCCATATTTATACTGTTTTCTAAAACTAAAAATATACAAATGATGCTGCGGATATTATGA